GACACGGAAATACATTTTTACTATTTTTTTTCAATTCAGTAGCCAAAGTGACTATATAGCCTCTCCAGTCATACTGCAAACCTGAAAAACCAAAAGCGAACGAAAGCAAACAGAAGCAGAAAGCTATTGAGAGACATGGGTGTGACTCCTAGTGGGTCACTGTTTCCAGCCTTTGCAGTCTTCAGGCAACAGCACAGAGATGCAGGAGGAATGCAGGAGCATGCCAGAGCTACATAAGGCATCTTCTACAGATGATCTGCCCTTCCACATAACACTAGTTTCATGTTGTTTTGCTGCCTTCTGTGCAGTGGAAAAGAGTGCTGGGCTGTCCAGCTCTGAGCAAACGTCAGATAAGGATTACATTCTTACACGGGAACTTCTGCAGCCTCAGGAGAGGGGAGAGAGAGTTTGAGTGTCTTACATTACCTTTTCTGTCTCTCCAGAAAGGTTTTTTGAAGACCATGAAAATGTTGTTGAAGTGTTATCAGACTGGACTCGAGACACTGAGAACAAGCTTCTTTTTTTGGAGAAAAGTGAAAAATATGACTTATTTAAAAATCCCCAGGTAAGCTAACATGGTATTTGGGTAAGAGTCTAAAACTATGTCCCTTAGTTTGTATGCTGCCTATTGCATTATTAATTTGCTTTCAGCTGTCAGTTTGGAATTAGAGAAAGCAAAATTTGTACTTTCAACACAAAAAAAAAAAAAACCCAGAATGTTGAATGCAAGGATTTGAAAATTAGTGCTTTCTGTTCTTTTCTGATGATATTTTAAAGTCACGTCTGCAGTGGTAAAAAATTAAGCATGTAGTTCTCCAATGCTACAAGCTGTTGCTTAGGCATAGCTCTCAGAACTGGGGTGAGACGGCAGAGCTGTAAAAACCTGGCCTTTGTAATTACTACAGTTTCTCTACTATTTCTACTGATGAAAATCAACATTTCCTTGAAGGTCCAGTTTTTGCCAGTTGTACATGAAACTTCATAAAGAGTATGCTGAGTACTACATAAAGTTTATCTGGGTTTCATTTAGACAGGGGAGAAGAATTGGGTGAACAGTAACTTGTGCATTCTAACTTTGTAAAAAAGAGGGTCTGCACGCTGAATTGCATCCAATTATTCAGGATAGGCGTATACACAAATTATTTATTTCTTGTGATATATGGTCAAAACTGTATTTACAAACACCCTAGAACATACAGTTGATGGATGCTGGGGCACTAGATCTTTTCCCCTTGTCAGTGGTCTGTTAGCTCATTGAGCATCTGGTTTGTTCCTGAGGGCAGCAAGAGAAAAATGAGCAATTCAGCATTGCCGAAAAAATGAGTCAAATACATAATTTGGCAGCAAATGTCACCAAGCTGCTCATTAGGAAGTTTTGGGGTTTTTATAATGAGCCAGTGTTTCAAATAAAACCTGCAGAGAGAAGTTTCCTTCATTGACAGAACAAGTACCCACAGTCAGGGAAAGAAAACTTACCCTGCAGTGTACGTGGATTGATACTGATTTTTAATAAGAAACAGCAAAGCCAAGTTTGGAAGTAAAATATACGTGATGGCTCAAGATGTCATACTTTCTGATACACATAAACATACCTAGCAGCAGTTTTGATTGTACATTTGATTTGTACACTAGTAGTGTTATTTTCCCATAGGACATAAATTTTTGATGAAGATTCTGGGCATTTTGATTGCAATGAACTTTAGAAATAAACATGACCTAAACCAAAACCAGAATAAGAGTGTAGTTCTGTCCTCCCCTCTCAGGACATGCTGAGCTTGATCTGGACATGTCTACAGTCCTTGAGCTTCAGCCCCTCTGTGACAAGCTCTAAAATGAACAGCCTAAGGAAACTGGATCAGTTGTGGCTATCAGGCTATTGAAATATTTTGTCAGTAATAAAGTCTAACCATCTGTCAGGCTTAATAAGTTCAAACATTGTGAGACAGGCAGAATAGTACAGTCATATTCGTGGTTTGTCTTTTTGGCAGAAAATAATCGGTATTGCACAGACAGAGCTCACACTAGATAATGAAACATGGTAAAATATGTGAACTGGAGTGAGTCCCTGAAAAGGTAAACCAAGCAGAAAAGCTGAGTTGGTGCAGGGCAGAGTATATGATTGCCTAACTACTTACAGAAATTATGATGTAACCAATGGGAAACTGAAATCCAGTACTCTGATACTGTATTCTCAGTATATTCAGCTTCCTTCTCCTAGCTCAGTCAAGGTTGCCTCATAAACTTGTTTTGTGAGTACAGAAATTGCAGAATGCTTTTTTTTTTTTTTTTGATACAGCCAGTGGTGGTAATGCAGCAGCAGCTGGATTCCTTGTTGGTCTTATTTAGTGCTCATTCTGTCAGAGGTTGTCTGTGAAGATCTCACAGTTTTGTAACTTGCAGATATTTTTCTGGAAAAAGAGGCAAATTCCAAAGGTGGCCAGGAGCCTACAATTTATTCTTGGACAAATTAGTGATACAAAATTTTCATTACAGAGGTTTGATGCAATTAAATGCTTTAAAAAAATCTTATTATAAAGATGTCCAGATGCGTTGCTAAAACAAGTGGACCTCTGCAGAAGGTCTATGACCTGTGCCACTATTCACTATTTCTTTCTGTGAACTAGTTATATACCTGATATAGATTAAACAACAATTAATTAAACATGTTTCCTTTTCTAAGGAGGAACTGAGTTTTTTTAATGCAGGATTTATCCTCTATATCTGTATTGGCAACATTGGCTCAGCTAATGCCAGTGTCTTTTTTTGAAGATTGTCTTTCTTGTCATGCTATACTCTCTAATATTTTTCTGCAGCTTTGTTTCTGAAAACAGCTTTTTAAACTATTTGGAATACATTTTAGAAAAAGCATCTGCAAAATCCTCAGCTGTCCCCCTTTTCACAAACAGGCACGCTTCCGCCCTTTCCTCACCATGATACAATTTACCCTGCAGGGAACCCACAGTAAAAGACTGTTCTATGAATGGCATCAGTGACTCATCTACAGAGATGGAGCATCACAAGTCTATGACTAAAGAGTGAAACAAAAATACATATTGGTACATGTGCAAATAAAGAAAACCTTTGTAACATAGAAAGGTGATACTTTATCATGTGGTTGAGTGATGCTGTGCTTGTCTTTAAAGGAAAGGTTGTCAGGTCTCAACACATCTTTTCAAAAGGCTCAAAGAATACTTCTCAGCTAAAAGAGACTCTAAAAAAAGAAAATTGAGGGAAATGCTTTTTCTTCATTTAAACAGGGTTATTTGTAAGGGGCAGCTGAGTCTAAACTCCTGGCTGTAAATGCTAGTCATGCTCTTAGAACACTATATTTGATTTTTTCTTACATGGATTTTGATTTCCTGTGTTTCTCTTTTGCTGATACAAGCAGACAGAATAAATTAAAATGGTGCAGGTGACACCACATGCACGTGGGATTTTTTGGTTTTTATTATTTTTGGACAATATTTATTAAAATTAATGAAAATCTGTACAGTGAGCACTTTGTGCTTCTGCTTCCTCATATGTAAGCCAAAAGCAAGAGCTATACCCTCCAATGGAGAACCCATACACTGAACTGGCATTTTATTTCTGCTGAAAAGCAAGAGTACTGAACAGTGTGAGAAGGAGGTGGAGTAAGAATTTGTAATGTCTTTTATAACAGGACAGCTATAGTGAGTTTCACGCTTGAATATTTATTTTTAAGTCAGTGAAACTGGGCTAGTATCTACCAGGTGATACTTTTGTTTTTCACCATTTTGGCCACCTTCATGTGTCAAGGTTTTTCTTTTGTCTTCACTGTTACTCAGTGAAGGAGACCTAGAAGGGTGGGAACCTGATTATTGGGTGTGCTGGCAAATGCACAAGGAAATAAAAGTGAGAAAAGGGAAGTGTTTTTCACTATACTCCCACTGTATAGTAATCTTAATTTCTCTATTAGTGTATCTTAGACCATGGTATAGTTTCAAGGTGAAGATGCTAGTTCAATGAATATGTTTCTGCCTTGGAACTGTGACACAGTCTTTACACATTTGCACCGTTTTGCAGATGGCTTTTAATCAGCCTATTAAATGCTTTGCTGTTAGCTGTATCCTAGCTTATGTACGTCTTTCATTTGTTCCATGTTCCCCCCTCTTTGATGATGAAGTCCATCATCCTCAAGGCATGAAAAGTGAGCTGTAGTGATTTCTTCAAACATTATAAAATCAAGTAACCAGAGTTGAAAATCAATTTGGGGGGCTTCAAAAGAGCTTTGCCTTTAGCTTCATTTGTTTATTTACATTTGTGATCTTCAGCACAATTATAGGTATCTTCTAATATTTTTAATATGCATTTTTTAGGGGACCCATGATTATATGGGTTGCAGATATGATCGTGTTCTGTTTCACATTTTCTGCACAGACCATGCTGCATTCAGTATGCAGTTGCAATGGGCTGAAACGGGATGTGAGCTGGCCAGTTCTTGCCTCATTCTGGGCAGTTTGGATGAGTGTAAACAGGCAGCTCATCGCACAAAGAAGATAGTCATGAGTATGGAGCAGCTGCCTTGTCTGCTGCATGCTGTCTGATCTGTGCTGTTGCAGACCTTGCAGATCTTCTGGAAAAACAGTTTCAATAGCTCGAAAGTAAAAATACAGCCTGAGTGGAAGGGGAAGCATGAGGAGGATGCTGCCTTGAACGTGTATTTTTTGCTATGTACTGCCAAGTAGCTGCTGCATTCCAGCTTGGATGGGGCTGTGTATGAAAAAAAGATGAAAGGTGTGAGAGATGTGCTGTTTCACTTAGGAAAATCTTTTTTACTAATATAAAGACATAGAACACCAATCAGAGATTTTGGCAGTGCAGTAGTTAAGGCTACTGGTTCTACCATGATCCAAGCTTGGTTTGCTTACATGCCACCAGAGATGTTCTTTGAAACTATTGAAAACACCTTCTGTCTTTCCACTGTTTGAGGGTTATACAGTGGAGAGAGATACAGCCTGATTTTTTTTACCTGTGTTTCCACACAAAAGGAGATGGCTGTACCCGTAAGTGGAACCAATTGTATGCATAGACTACTGGTACTTTACAGTACAAAGCAAAAAAATAATGGAAGCTGGCTATAAAATCTTTACAAGATTTTCATTGTGCATATGGAATTTCCCGCTAATGTAAAGCCATAGATGGGTCATCAGCTAGTTTTGTCACTGTCCTGCATAAGCACAGGGGTAAATGCTGGCATAAGGTGTCTGTGTCTCTTAAGGATGTCATACCTGGCTAGCAGTACATGTCAAAACTGCCACTGTAGCTTTGCATTAGCCTGAGTCAGGCAGCATGGCTTGGGAGAGCAACTGGCTTTGTGTCAGCTTCAGCTGGTCTGGGGTGTGTAGGCACAGGGAGTAATTCAGCAAAAGTATTTGACTGCTCATCTCTGCAGCAAATAACCCAAACAGTGCAAAGAAAGTAAACCCAATGACAAAGTGTGCCAGCATACTTTGTTTTGTTTGTTAAAATAACCCTTTATGTTGCTTTCTTATGTTGTCAGCCCAAGAGGATGAATCTGTCTTAAGTAAGCTCAGCTCTCTATCAAAAGAAAGACATTGTCTTTTGAATGTAAACAATAGTTAATTCTCAAATCTGTAGACATATGCAGAGAGCTGCCCTGTAGCCACATCTTGTCCCATTAATGACTTGACATCCCAAACCAAACATGCGTTTCCCAGTGGTGTCCTCAGACAGGAAAGAGCTTGCCTTTTATGATGACCTTTGACTACTGGACTTGGAATGACCTCTTGTGGACACATGTGGTTTGCCTCCTATAGGATGACTGCTTCTGATCAAAAATAGGAGACCACACAGTGGTAGAACAAGTACAGTGTACAGTCTGCTCCCCAGGTTTTTAGCCACTGACAAATAGTAAGTACGACGTACTTCCAGATTTCAGGGGAGACATAAAGGAGGTAATCAATAATAAATGAAATGTGTGTTGACAGGTGAAAGATGACAGTGTACATCTGTGTAACGTTGGTTTAGGTGGCAGAGCCCTGTTTCCCTAATGAAAAAGCTGCGTTGTTAGAGATCCAGCATGGATATCATTACAAACTTTCTCTCTTTACCATTGATTATGTCAGTACAGGGTGGTCTGTGTTTCTGCTAAATAAATGCCAGATGCTTGAATGTGAATCAGCTGTAATCAGAGGAGCTTTGTTTTCTTATTATCAGTGCACTGAAGGCTGACTGAGCCAGATGAATGCTCTCCCCACCGGTAGTAAAGCCGATGAGCCAAGCCTTGTTGAGCCACTGATAAGGTGTACTTATCTTGATAAATCTTCATTGTGTATTTTAGGGGTTGTACTATGTCTTTATAATGATCTATAGAAGAAGCAGGCTTAAAGCTGGCATGTCTCTCCATTTTTCCAAATCTATCCCAAAGTCTGAAGGTCCAATCCAGCCTAACAGTGCCCTCTGAGGTTTCTCTTCATACTTTCATCAATATAAAAGTGGCTATGCCAACATCAAGCCAGCAGTGCTGTGGTAGTGCTCCCTGTCAAGAAGAGCTGTTGCACGTGTACAGAGGACTTGGCTGCAGCCGCTCAGAACAGTATCTTTTTTTCCAGTGGGATGAGTGGGGCATTGTCACTCAGTCAGACCTATGGTTTTGGACTGCCTAGGCAGGCATCGCTGTATGGGTTATACTGAGAACATACTTCTAAGCGGGTTTTGTTTTGAGATGGTTTGGGTTTTTTCTGCCATGAATACTGTCTTCAGACGTAGTCACAGAGCTGTGGTCCTTAGTGTTTGCTTACCTCCATCCATGGACTAAAAATGTGCCCAGGCAGTCTAGAGCCAGCTCAGTGCTGCTGCATATCCTAGAAAAGAACGCTGCTGTATTTCCTAGCATAAATGTCTATTGTATTGACTGTTCAAGTTTCTTTTCTTATGTTCATACCACAGACATGGCATCAGCATAGGCCAAATTGCAGGTGGCTGTATTTCTGATATCCCCTGTCTGATTTAATGTGAACTTCTAAGAAAACAGTTTTTAAAGAACTGGTTTTGAGATCATCCACACCTCTTCCCCTTCCTCTCCTGGTGCCCTTCCAAAAATGGTCTGCTGTGAGGCTTGTGTTCTGGCAGACAGCTGTTCGCAGCACTGCTTGAAAAAGAAGATGTGGTTGTGTGGAAGAGCAGGGTTTCACTTCAGATAAACCTCGTTGCTGTAAACATGGCACACTGGCAGGGCAGGTTTGATGCTTATTTGTTTGTCTCTTATACTGTAGCAATAACATGTTCCTTCATCTACACACTTCTCATTTGTCTTTTGGTAATGTTTGCATTTGTGTTGCAGTTTAGTCGTTGTGGACTCCTAGGCATGTAAATACATTGCTGCATTCTCATAGTCTTGAGACATGAAAAAATGGAGAGAGATGAAAAGTGAGATAAACTTCTAGTTTTCTTCCTACAGAATTGCTGAAGAATTACAGAATCAGGAGTAATTTTTAAGTAGATAGCTTTCAAAATTTCTCAGGTTTTTACAATTTTGTTTATTTTCTAGACAGTGGTGTTTGTCTTATGCCCTTTGTTCTGCAAACTTAGCTTTTTGACCAATTCCAGGGAAATCAGTAAGACTGTCCCATGCATCAGGTATTTTCCAAGCCCAAGTTCCTCTTCTACACATACTTTTGTTTAGAAAAAGACAAAACACAAGAAATTGGAGTGTTATCATTCTGGCCTCAAGGCCTTGGATCTAAATGCTACTTGATGGGTGGCATAGCTCCTTCATCTACCTGCACCCTTTGTGCCCAGCTGCCTTACTGCCTGCAGAAAGCCGGGCTCTGCTATCTGGCCGTGCTTGCTGTTGAGCAAAGCCACTGCACGTGCTCCAGTACACAAGTCCTGGCATGCTCCTGAGCTACCTTCCCACTGCCTGAGTTTGCACATATGTTTGAGTGCTGTCCGTTTGTCCATCTATACAATGCAGATGGATGTAAAATTGGTTTTGCTGTTTAACAATGGGTGAATTTATTTTTACTGGTAACTGGGTATATGAGGTGCTGTGCTTCCTTGTTTGCAAGGGCAGGCAGGTACTGGGTCCACTGAGGACGGCTGCAGCTTCCCAGCCCTCTGTCACAGAAGCAGAGGGTCATTTCAAAGCTTAGGCTTTTGTTTCAGTAGGCTGGAGCACATGTGCCAGGTATCATGGTGATAATTTCTTCTAATTTCTTCTAGATTTTTGAATACCTTCTTCATTGCATGAAAATACTTTGCAGAGCATAAGCAGGGGTTTACAAGTAGAAAGTAGTAACTTCAGATAAAGGCTTCAGCATATAAGCACTTTTATTAAAAATTAAGAGCTGATTTATATCCAGAGTGCCAGATATGAAGCATGCAAATTACCAAATTGGGTTGTTAGGAAAAATGCTTTCTAGCCTTTTGATACTGCATTATACTCATCGTATATCAGCATGCAATAAAATGCTATGTTCTCTATTGCTGTAGTAATACAGGAAGCAGTGAAAATTGGAATGATAAAATCAAACCCATTGATCCAGAAAAACAGCCAAAAACATAAGCCAGTGTTTTTAAAATTTTAGGAGGCTGTATATACATAGGCAAACTTAGTTTTTTGTTATTTTTGAATGATATTCAAAATAAAGAATTAAAACTCATAAGCAGGCAGCTGTGATTAAAGTTTTCTGTAAGAAGAGTACATGAGAGTCTGCCTCTTGTATCTGCTGGCTTGGGTACTCAATATGAAATCGAAAGACTGAGTAACTATTGAATGGGTTTGTAGTGATCTAGTTACTTTTATTGCTGTCTTTATAATGAACATCAATTTCTTTTGTGTCTTAATCAGAATTTCTACCTGGCAAACAAAGGGAAGAATGAAAGCAAAGAAATGAATGATAAAAACAAAGAGGCTTTAGTGGAGGTAAGCCAACTTTCTAGGTTGATGATGCAAATGTCACCAAAACTCTGCCACCATCTGCATCTACTCTGCAACAACAGCGTTTAGTTCTTTGCGGTCAAATGTGTAACAACAGGAAGTTCTGTGGTGGTTGGCGTCTTTGTGTCTAAGGTTTAATATATTATTAAAAAATGCAGATTGTATCCCCTATCAGAGAAATGAAACAGTGTTGTTATAGACCCCAATGTCATGAAATGTTTTTACTTAGTGTTTTTATGAAAAGCAATACCATGGTAACAATAAAAGCAATGTTATACAAACATGAATAACAGAAGGAGTTGTGCCACACCCTTAGGCCAGCCCTTGTGACTTTATATGGTTAGTAAGGTTGATCCGCAGCAAAAAACTATCTTTTGGGTTAGAAGTAGATGTACTTCTCACTACCTCAAATTATTAGCTGTACTACAACAGAAGAACCTTTGCACTTTTCCAGTAAGTCTGTCCCAACGCTTGCCTCTCCTGCTG